TTCAATGTAAGCAGAAAATCCTATTGAAGAATGTTGCTTTCAGTTTGTGCATCTGTTAAAGTTTGTAAGTGGTATCAAAAGAACATACAATTGTAGAAGATGAAATATGATAGAAAAGCCGCCTGTCTTGAAAACGAAGTCTTGACCACAGTGTTTTGGCTAGTTTTAAAAAAATGTCCTTGACAAACTACAAAGTCTATAAGAAAACTGACACCATGCTTACACAGCTATGTTTTCAACCTTTGTACCTATGATTACATTTCTTTTAATAATATGCCCTCTCATTAGTACCCTAACAGGACACCCGATGGATCATGAAGAGACCCAGGTTGCAGGGCGACCACCACTGCTAAAGGAAACAGAGTAGTAGCAACTCTGGACTTATCAAATAGTTTTGGGTCCTGGCTGGTGGTTTCATGATAGTTTACTACCAGTGATTCTTCTTTAAAAAAATAATAATAACAATAATTAATTAATTGATTGATTGATTTTTGTGATTTTTCTTTTCTAATTCCGCAACATACCAGTTTTAGTATTTTTTCCCTTGATTTGTCTCCTTTTATTATATTATAAGGAACTAACATGCCATTTCTCCTTTCCCTTTCTTGGGGTTTTCTTTTTTTCTCAATAGAATCAAAGAGTTCAGGCAGCCCGGGTGGCTCAGCAGTTTAACACCGCCTTCAGCCCAGGTTGTGATCTTTGAGACCCAGGTTTGAGTCCCACATCAGGCTCCCTGCATGGAGCCTGCTTCTCCCTCTGCCTGTGTCTCTCTCTACTCTCTGTCTCTCATGAATAAATAAATAAAATCTAAAAAAAAAAAAAAAAGAATCCAAGAGTTCACATTACAACCTACCATTGATTTGTCATCTCTCCCAGTCACCGCAAAAACTGTCACTTTGCAGAGTTGTACTGCGTTGTCCTTCACAAGGGCTGTATCTGTTGTACTATGCTGCGGAAGCCCTTGACACTTGGCTCTATGTGATTCCCACCTAGGCACTATAAACTAATTTAACTTAAAGAACTAAGGATAGAGAAGAGAAACCAAAGAAACTCACATTATTCAGAAACACATTATTCAGAAATTCCTGAAGTTTATAAGTCAGTAAGCCAGGAATAAAACATATGTTATCCCTTAAAAACAGAAAAAAAAAATACACGCCCATGGGTAACAAGTCACCACCAAGTCGCTGGTTCTCATCTCTCACTTTCTGCTTTTGTCTCTCTATTTAGATGGATTGTAACCAAGAGCATTAAAAAAAAAATCTCTTTAAGGAAAAAGTAATAAAGATAGAGAAAAAGATTATCTTTTAATTCAAGCTATAGCATAGAAAAGTGAAATCTGACTTTGCCCATTTTATTTTTTTTTAATCGTTAGAGTGAGGAAGACTTTCCTAGTTACCATAAAAATTCTAGATTTTCCTGTTACAAGAAAAGAAATGCTGACTATATTCTATAATGCACTGAGGGTTGACCTCAGTTCTGTGAAATCTGATTCTTGATAAAACAGTAGGCTCCTGTCCTTGCCACTGGCTTGCTCCTGGGCTCAGGCTGCATAATAACAAGTCTCCTCTGGACTGTGGTACAAGGTGGGCATATGAAATAAAGTATTTAACACATCCATAATACCTTTCATGTTCATAGCTCAAACAGCTTTATAAAATCCAATTAATTCATCAAGCTTCATAAACTCTGAAGGACATACATAATTATCACTCTACATGTGGCCAACCACTGGCAACAAGCACTCAGCTATAGGACTTAAAAGTCCACATTTAGCTGTCCAGTTCTTGAACTTTCATGCACCTACAGAATAGCAGGGGCATGATAAAGAATCTGAATCACCAGCAAATACTACGAATGGTGAGTTGGGCTAAGAATGTGTGCAGAAAGGAATGATCTCAATGCCAACAACCCAAAGAATCCTTGCTGTCTCTACTTGGGTAAAGAGGGTTTAGATCTAACTAGGAGAGTGCTGTCCCATCTGCATGATTTGGTTGGAAGTGCAAAATCACTTGGTAGAAGCCTTTGTGTGGCATGCCAAATGAAATCTATAGAATTTATGTTAAGAAGAAATAATCTAGATATTTTTAAATATCTATGTGTAATATATTATTTATTTTAAAATGCTAAATAAACACTAAACCTGTGTTCATAGCGCATAACTCATTTTTCAGATGAAGTGAGAATAGCTGATATGGAGACAAAAATGCCCTGCTGGAAATAACTTGCTTACTGGAGAAGCCTGGTTTGCTAGTTATGAGAGAGTGCAAGTATCTTTGTGAATAAAACAGATTGTTTTCCAACAGAAAAGTGCACTGTCAAAAACATTATGAGCAGAGGCACAAATGATATGAGTCCTAAGAGTGTTCCAGGACATGGGTTTTCCCTCAGTGAAAGGCATAGGATTATACAGAGATCTCAAGGGTCAGCCTCTCATAATAGAAACTTGTAGTCTGATTTACTCATGTAGCTGGATGACCCTATACAAATAATCTCTATTCTCTGAACCTCAGGTTCCTTACAGGGACATGAGAATAAAAATATCTGCTTCTCACCGGGTAGTTGCAATTACTGAAGGAAAAAAAAAAAGTCTACTAAGTGTCTATTAGGTTTCCAGTAAATCATAGCATGTATTTTTAAAAGCATTTGTTCCATATTCCCCCATAAATCCCAAACTCACTGAACATGTTTAAAGTCTGGAAAGAACATTTCTATGTGGAAGGAGATATTGGACATCCCCTATTCTCAGAATCTTGCAATAAATGACTGATATGTATGAGGACAGGAAAAGGAAACAGGTAATTGGTCACCACCTATTCCAAGCACCTACTCCCTGGGCAGAAGTAAGAAGTCATTCTCCTCGTTATTGCTAGCCATTTTTCTTCAATGGGTAGAAGGAAGCTCTAGGAAGCAAATTTGATCTCAGTTTAAGGACTGTCAAAATGTTATAGCTCTCTGAAAGCAGGAAGCATGGGTTAGTAAACAGTAGAGTGTTAGTACTACTAGAGATGAGATTTTCCTACCACTTTAGATATTCAAGCAAATGGTGACTAGAGTAGTATTCTGGCAATACATAAACTTATTAAATGAACTATGCTTTCATATGCCTTGCCTTATTAAATTCTCAAAACAAATCTATGAATTTAATATTTGTATCCTCTATCTTATAGATATCTATCCATCAATAGATGGATGACCAGCTTTTGGGGATACTGTAGAGTGATATCATACATAGTTCATAACATGAATGAGACATTTAATTTTCATAACAACTGTATATATGACTGATACCATTCTAGAGTGTAGACTAGGGTGGGATATATGGCAAGATAACAACCAACAGAGTACATTCAATCTCAGAATTCTCACTCCAGTTTCTAGAATTATGATCTTTTCTCAAATAGACTTAGTCTGACTTCAAAACTCCTGTATCTGAGATACTCATATTAGTGCCTCTTTCTAGTTTTACTGATGCCAAGGCAATGACAGAACATGAGTTAAAATCTTCTTTTCTAGGCTGAATTTATTGATGCTTAGTATACGCCAGGCTAAGTACTTAAATATAATAAATCTCATTCTCATGACAACACTATAGGACTAGAACTGTTATTGTTATTGTTATTGTGCCCATGAAGAAACTGAGGCACAGAGAATGGAGCAGCTTTCTGAAGGGCACACAACTAGAAAGGGCAGGGCTGAGAATCAAAACCAGACGTATTTAACTCCAGAATATACCATTTCAATCGCTGCTACATGGTATTTTATATAGTGCTCTGACTTGTTTCAAGCAAGATAAATTCTAGACTTATAATAATAAATAGAGCCTCACTGAGGACATGTATACATGAATAAATACTGTTGGCCAAGAATGATTAACAAACTCAAAATACGTATTTTCATATATATGTCATCTGAGGCAAATACTACATTCAAAAAAATTAAAGGCTTCATCTTTTGCATTGTTTAGAATTATTAGCACATATCACACTGACAATAAACACAGAAAATTTTTAAATAATGCCACTATGAAACGTTTTTACATATTTTGGTCCTGGAATGGAAACAACTTTTTTTCTATTTTTCTTCAAAGCTCATTGGCTCCCAGGAAAAACAAAAATAGACTAACAATTTGATTTTCTCATTCCCAACTTAATGAAAGATATGAAGCACCAGATCATTTGTTGTAAAAATAACTTAAAAGTCAGAATACAGTATACTTGTATGTGTAGCATTGAATGTCATGTATTATAATTTAGCACTTTATTAAGGATAGTTAAGAGGGCTAGAAAGAAAAAAAAAAAGACAGAGAAAGGCATTTCAGATCAGAGAAGGGGCAACACACAATGCAGATAAGCCAAGGGAAAACTGAATGAAACAAATAAACAAAAAATGCACACATCCACACCACCTGGGGTACATTCCTTAGAAAAGAGACAGAGAAAAATGATACTTAATGGATATACTGCAAATGGTTCATTAATGAAGAAGCAAGCCCAGGACATACATTTTCATTATTTTATATCCCCATTTTTATGGCTTTCTAGTCTTTCAGAGTCCTTGCTTTCACCACGCCCAGAACAACACTGACACTTAGCAGCAAACCATAGGTGATTTAAGAAAGGTTCATGTTCATTCAAAATGAACACAATCCTGTCACTATCATAAACAATCAGGTACAATTACAAGACTATTGTCAATGATCAGTTAGAACCACTTACTTAAATAAGCAATCAGCCTGCGAATTGGGTACTATGCAGAATTCCGACTCATTAACTTTACAGTTGGCCATTTTTCACCACAGAAAATTTGATGGATGTCCACTGATCTCATGAACATGCATTTTCAAGTTCAAATTCGTATCATAAAGACACAAAAAAACATATATTGGTGCGCTTCAAAATTCCATTCAAAAGTTTCATGCTCTTCTACGTAAGTCAGGCTAATGAACTGTATTTGTTTTCTATCATGGGTGCACACCAGCCCCCAAGGCTCCTCAGTACCTGCTGTCTATCCAGACGCATCCTCTTGGCTGCATTTCTGCTCTCACTCTCACAGGCTGAAGCCAAGATACTCTCTGCAACTGCTGAAGTAAGGTGGGAAGGAATAGGTCGAGACTAAAAAAAAAAAGAGAGAGAGAGAGAAAAAAAACATGAAAAATTATTAACAGACCAATGCTATTCTCAGAGGAGCTCACAGGATGTGCAGTAAAATCCATGTATTTCAACTGAACTTATTTTAATAAAAACAGGAGATGGAAATTGCAAAGATGAAAAATGAAAGCTAGTTAGAGGTTAAAGCTACAGCTGTTACACAGATCCATCACTCATTCCCATAGCTCCATTGTCACAAATAGTTAGTCTGGGCCATTAAGCTGGAGTTTGAATAGGCGGTGACAAAATGCTGACTGGGTTTTGCAAATAATAGAAGTTGCTTTAATTCTATCGTAACACATGACGATGCACAACAAAACAAAATCAAGTGACAAGGCTGAAACATAGCTGGAAAAACTGACAGACACTCAGACCATGTCGAACATTTTTAATATGAAATATGAATATTTACAGTTGAAGTTGTGACATTATTGGTATGATTAAAATCTTCTAAAATTATTTTAGCTTAAAAAAAAAAGAACCAACTAGCTTGGGAATGACAAAAAAATTATTTTGGCTTACATACAAACTGAAAACTCAGTCCTGAAATAATTTTGATATAATACAAGTTTGATGTTTTGATGTGAGCTTTATGTGTACCTACATGTTTTATTGATAAAATAGGAGCTAATATTATTAATTTAATAGATACATGTTAGAAATCTATCTTCTATGTAGCCCATATAGGTTAATTACCCCCCCACTAAGCTTGTAATTAATTTCAAATTGTTTGCAACTCTCCATATCATTTGTGATAATCAGAAAAGTTTTTCATTTTCTTTTCCCATAATTACATCCAAAATCATCAAACTGAAAGATGAAGTGCTTAATGATATTGAACAGTTTTTTAATGAAGATAAGCAAATGATAGATAAGAAATAACATGATAATTAAACCAGATAATATAGCAAAATATGAAATTACAAAATAAAAATGTCCTTTGGGAAGCTAGCCTATGTAGTGATATGGCACTTTCGAGTTTTCAAAGCCTCGATCTCAAATATGTATGGATGTCATTTACTAGAAGCTTCTGACCTAATAAAGGCCTTCTCATTTTTCTAAGTGTAGGAGCATGCCTTTATGATACTTGATTCATTTTGCTAACTCTAGCATATAAAATGCGTTTCAACAAATTGAACCAGAGGGCTTATATCTCAATATTGAAGAACAGCTAAATTCAGACCATCAGTACTTGCACAGATACTCCTCAGTAGAATTTGTACAGTGTAAAAGGAGACCAGGCTCTGACCTTGCTTGAACTAGGAAGCAATTTCTACAGCTGTCTCAGACAACTTCTTCATGTTTCTACCTCTTTAGACATAAGGTAGGAAAGGTAAAGGGTACAGTCTCCACTGCTAACCCTGTGGGGTACTCGAAATGATGCCTAGACAACCTTGACAATAAAGCATTAGGATACTAGAAATGTTACTTTTGCAGAGGAAAGAAAAGAGAGAGGCCACTGAGGTGGCAAGTAAGTGCAGCAGTAGGATTTTGAGAAGGAAATTAGAAAGCTAGGAGTGTGTGTTGGGAACAGAGAGGAGGATCAAATCAGATAAATAATAAATTGAAAAAAATAAATTGTCATAAAGATGTAAATATAATTTTAAAATCCATATGGCTTCTTCATTTCATTCTGTACTTCCCGGAGTATGGATAAGATAATCCAGCTCAGAACCAAAATTATATTAAGCCACAAAATCAGTGTCTCATGAAAGAGCAAAGCTTTGGTCACAGCTCAGCTCAAAATTATAAGATAAACCACACGGAAATTAGGTACACAGTGTTGTTTTTTTCTCAATTGAATTATGTTTGGAGGCAAAGACATTATAGAAAAAAATGAGAAGAACATTCTATTATGAAAAAAGAAAAATTATTTGATTGTAGCTAACATTATTCAAATAGAAGTGACAGTTCACATCACTATAAACTACATTATTAGACCTTTCATCTGGTTCTAGGGGCTGAATTAAAACAATCTAAATAAGACATCAGTAGTCTCTCTTTTCTTGATCCAATTATTGATAGTCACATGAAATTCAGAGAGATGTATTTCTGCTCTTCATTATCTTTATTTTCTCTGTCAGGTATCTTCATTCAGAATTAGGAATACATAAAGCTATGGAACATTATTAAGCTGATTCAATTGAAGTAATAACCATATACCTTCCCAAACACATAAAAGTTTCTTGAATAGAAGAACGAAAGGTGAAATATTTCTGTATTTAAAATTAGCATTTTCTTTCATTTAAAACATTAAAAAAAACAAGATGGGAAATAACTTTTACTAAAACAGTAAAAGTTGTTAGGCGTGATAATTTATATAATTTCCTTTTCAAAGAAAATGATGGGGATAGTTCGGTCTTTTCCAGCTATAGGAAATTGGTCTTCTTAGAAACTAGAATAATGTCCTGGCTGAGTGGGGCTAGATCATTTTTAAGGTCACTGGCTAGCCTAATATTTCAAGATTTTGAAAAGAAAATCAACCTCAAGATAAAGCAGTCACGTATCCTTTCCTATTAAGTGGCAAAAAAATAAATAATAATAATAAGTGGAAGCAAAGGTATGTGATAGATATTGCCAGTAGTTAAAAAGTATAAAAAGTATAATTTTAAACATAGAGTTGTTTTGAATTTATGGTAAAGCTATAACTTGGGAACTGTAAATAGCCTTAGAAATCATTCAATACAAATTTCTTCTGAAAAGTTTGAAGAAACTGAAACTCAGAGAGGTTAAATGATTTGCCAAAGGACAGATTGACTAGATGTAGAACCCAGGGTTCATGTCTCCCAATTCTCAATCCTTTCACTCTCGAAATTCTGTTCTATACTTAGTACTTTTACATAACTTATCATTAATATAAAATATTATAGAAAAAATCCTTATACACACACCCCATTGCACTCAACTGAACAATAAGCAGACCAAAGTTAACCCTTTACATGTATGTATTACAATCAATACATGCTCATTGAAAAGAAAGCAGAATGAATAAAATTTATATTGCGGATTAGGAAATACACATGTGTTTTCCAAAGTATTTACTATATCTTAAGTACATAATAAAAAATGTACCTCTAAGTAGAAAACCAGTACCACCCTAATTTAATTTGATGATAAATGTTAGTATCTAACTCATACTGACTAGCTGGGATGGGCAAGCATTAATACAAGAAGCTTAGATTCATTATCTAATTTAGTTTTCCAAACAACCCTTGAGAAAAGTATTTATAATATTCATATTTAGAGGAAAAATAAATTGAAATTCTGAAAAATTATATAACTTGACCAAGATCACACAGCTATGATGTGGAAACACCTTGATTAATATCTAAGTCCGATGATAAAGTGGGAATAATAATTCCTAGTAAAAAAAATTCTCATTTCACAATGAAGGTCTCAGTAAGTTTAAACAAAGCTAGAAATCTTAAATACTACACACTCCTACAGAGGAATCCATTTACAGCTAACTCTATTTTTCACTTAAGTAAGGAATATATTAGGATCTCACTAAAGTTCTCTTAAAGGGATTGAGATTCTCCTAATATATTTTCCTATTAATTCTTTAAAGCCTTTCTTCATTAATAGCACAAAAATAAATGTAACATATCTCAGTTCTGTCACATGTTCTAAATGGAGGCAATATAAAATCTCAAGAATGTCATGTTGGAGAAACCAGAAGTGCCAAGAAATTACTGTCTATGAAACATAAGAAAAGCTTAGTCTTGTGCCCAAAATGAGAATGAGGAGCCAGGCAGAGTTCGTGCTTTCCTGTGAGGCAATCTGTTAAAATCCCTTTGGTTCTAATATTGAGGAGCCAATAATGAATGCCAATGCTCCTCACTATACACAGAGCTCCGTTACACTGTGCCCTGCTCTAAGATATGAAAGATGAAAGTCTTTTGTTTATTGTTCCTCCATAATTTGGCTTTTATCTATTTCACAGCTCAGAAGTACTTTAACCAAGCTAATGAGAAGGAAATTAATCAATTTTGCTCCTCATCAATGTTATCATAGAGGAATTTAAAGCTATTGTTTAGTGTGAGTTTTGAGAATCATCTTCGCCAGAACTCTCTTTTCCTTCACCATATTTGGTAGTACAGAGCTGATTCTAATTCTAATATTGCCACGCTACGGGCTTACTGGCAGTTAATTAGCAGACTGTGTTAAGAGCTATCATTATGAATTCCACCAGGAACAAGTATGAAAAGTCCCTCTTACATCAGTAAAAGTGGCCATAGAACACAAAAGCCTCCATGTAATAACTTAAGGATATTTTGACAAAATAAAATCCCAAATGCGTAGAACTCAATAACACCTACCTGATGAAAAACAAAACTTCTCCTTCCAGTTGAATATAGCTCAGTAAATATACTACTTGGTATATATCTTGTAAGATTTTAAAATAATGATGCAAAGATGTATATAATCATACATTCCACATGATCTATACCTACAGTGAGATTTGTTACCTATTTCTTATCCTATTTCTTACCTTATTTCTTATCCTATTTGTTATTCTATATCTGTTACTTATTTCTGATCCTGGAGGTGAGATAATGCTAATCACCTTTACTAATTATCTCTTTGTAATTAACTGTCATCCTCAACAGGGAAGAGTTGATCTTTCCCTAGCACTGCTCTTATTATAATAATTATCTATGACCAAATTGGTGGTGGTTGTTTCATTAAACAGATGGCTCAACTGTCACAAGGAACTTTTGGAGATGAAAAAGTCACATTTTAATTGTGGTCTTAAGATGTGATTCCTATTGGCACAGCATAAACATATTTTTCCTTATATACACATGTAAAATTTACCACCACACCAACAAACTATTCCATTTTTGGGGTCTGAAACTAAAAACTAAACAATGTTACCATCCTCTGAACTTCTGCCATACTTTTACTAGCTCTGAGTTTTTTACAATTTTTAAAAAGTAAAAATAAATCATTACTGTAAGACT